GCAAACGATATGTCCAGGCTTGCCACAGGGATCACCGCTATCACCAGTCTTATTCAACTTTTATACGGTGATGATCACTGAGCAGCAGTTGAATGGAAAGGGAAGGACTTTGTCATTTGCTGATGACATTTTGATTTATCGACGAGGGCGTGATAGACAGGAGATCGCCAGCACAATGCACAAAGAACTCGATCGAATTGCCGCCTGGTGTGATGGTTCCAATGCCTATGTCAATACTTCGAATGCATCAGTGTCATGGTTCTCTTTGAACAATCACATTGTCAAGTCGGACTTACCAGAAGTGAAAATGCGTAATAATGTATTGATCAGAACCAACGTTATGACGTTTCTCGGGGTGAGGTTCGATCGCAGCTTGTCATTCAGGGAACACGTTGACCATGTGATAACAAAAGGTCTATCTGCAATGAGGATTATGGCTGCTTCCAATATCGAGCAAAGACTACTAATACTTCTCTTCTACGGTCTGGTCCTTTCCCCCATTGAATACGCTCTGGCCATCCTCACTGTCAGTGCTACCCAGATTGAACGAATCGAAAAGGTGCAAAATGAAGCCATGCGCATTATTTTGGGATGTACAAGAGACACATCCTGTGGAGCAATGAGGTATCTACTTGACTTTCCAACAATGAACCAAAGGATCCGGATGTGGAGGGCTCGGGCATACCTCAATATATGTGCTGATAAGAAACACCCACTGCATCAAGCGTTTTTAGTGAAAAGGGCGACAGACTGAAGAGGGGGAAATCGTGGCTAGGTCGGGCAGAAGGTGTTATTAGGCAAATATGCAGCCTAACCGACATCATACCTGGTGCAGAATGGATACCTGTGCCTCAGGCGTTTATTTGTACATTTTCCTGTATTGTCACACTCAACAGGCGATGTAGAGAAGAGAATCCTGTTGCTGTTAATGCAGAGGTCAACGCTCTCATCGGTGAAAATTCAGACGAAGCAGATGCACTAATCTATACAGACGAATCCGTTATACGCCAAAGAAGAAGCGCATGGGCATTTACAGCACGCTCAGCAGGCAGAACAGTCAAAGAAGCCAACGGTGCCTTCTCCATGACAACCAGCAGCATGACGATGGAGGTGATGGCAGTGACGCAAGCGTTTGCCTGGCTTGAAACACAAAAATACACCCGCATATGTATACTCAGTGATTCAATGAGTATGATCCGGAGGGTTCAGGCATGTTCAGTGCGAAGAAAATGGCTTGAATCAATTCAGAAGTCCACTGTGCGTGGAGTCACCTTTATTTTTGTTCCGGGACACGCTGGCGTCGATGGAAATAAAAGAGCTGACAGGTTGGCTGGATCCGCTATCACTACCGACGGTCGGCCTATGGATCATGCTGACATTATCAATGCCCTCAGAGAAATGGGAAGGATAGAGGACTTTGGTGGCAGTGAATCCACATCACTCGCCAGAATGGCAGACTTGGGAATTAAGATCGGCACAGCAAAAAACGAGACGCACACCGGACACGTCAGAAGACTTGTTAATCAACATAGAACTCGTACTATTAGCCATCGGACGTTGGGGTTTATACTGAGGGGAGGATCTGAGCACCTATGGACATGTCCGGAGTGCAATGATGACAACCCAACTAACTAACTAACTAACTAACTAACTAACTAACTAACTAACTAACTAACTAACTAACTAACTAACTAACTAACTAACATACTAACAAATAGACAGATTACGTGTCGGTGTTTCCAGACGTACATTCGACTCTGGAAAGTTGGCTGATAAAATGTGGATTAACTACCAGGGTAACTTGAGTTGACATAATCACCTGGTAGCAAGGAGAAACTATGTAATGACTTGGTCCAAGTGAAGAGAGACAGTTTGTAGAAAGCCCGTTCTTTAGTGACTTTACTGGGAAGCTGTACCGAGGCAAGTAGCATGGCCCAAGGCTGACTAGACAGACAGAACGTTGTCAAGGAACGACGGTAACACGGCGAAGGAAAAAAAAAATATAAAGAAACAAATATACATAGACAGATTATAAAAAAAAAGCCAAACGGACTAACCGTCGCCTCAGCCACGTAGGACATGTTTGAGAATAATCATAATAGAACGGACCACATGGCTTATTCTTTCTAGACATGATTTTCTGTCATATAAATGGAAAAAGATTTTGCTTTTCAAGTCCTATTGGGCCGAAGTAGTATAGAACGTGCGTAAGCTGTAGTAATTTTAGGCACCAAAAATGGTGGTTGCCAGATTTTTAGTAATGTTGACTTGGGAGTGATACTTGTGTTGCCTAGTGATTCAAGGAACTCCCAAACGTATGTATAGACATTTTTAATATTGTAGATCATATGTGTGCAAATATATTTATGTTGTGCAGAACATAAACAAGAAAACCTTGCTAAACAAATGCAGATCACGAACTGAGTGATAGTCAGCATAAGATATACTATGTCAAGAGGACTGATCGACTATTTAGGAGGACATGGCAATAAGCGTGACTGTTTCAGCCTGGTGTCATACAGGCAAAGACTGCAACACTTGTTTATATTACTTTGTGTGTCTATCTCGGTCTCCTCTCACTGTATGTGTCTTTATACGGTCTTAGTTCACTTTGTGTCTACCTCTGCCTCACCCCACTTTATGTGTCGACCTCTACTTCACCTCGATTTGCGTGTCTACCTCTGCCTCACCTAACTTGATGTGTGTACCTCTGCCTTACCTCACTTTATGTGTCTACCTCTGCCTCACCTCACTTTATACGCCTACCTCTGCCTCACCTCGATTTGTGTGTCTACCTCTGCCTCACCTCACTTTATATGTCTACCTTTACCTCACCTCACTTTATGTGTCTACCTCTAGCTCACCTCACTTTATGTGTCTACCTCTGCCTCACCTCACTTTATATGTCTACCTCTGTCTCACCTCGCTTTGTGTGTCTACCTCTGCCTCACCTCACTTTATATGTCTACCTCTACCTCGCCTCACTTTATGTGTCTACCTCTAGCTCACCTCACTTCATGTGTGTACCTCTGCCTCACCTCACTTTATATGTCTACCTCTGCCTCACCTCGATTTGCGTGTCTACCTCTGGCTCACCTCGATTTGCGTGTCTATCTCTGTCTCACGTCTGTCTCTGTCTCACCTCACTTTATGTGTCTTTATACGGTCTTATTCACTTTTTGTGTCTACATCTGCCTCACCTCGATTTGTGTGTCTATCTCTGTCTCACTTCACTTTATGTCTCTTTATATGGTCTAAATTCACTGTGTGTCTACCTCTGTTTCGCCTCATCTTGCGAGTGCGCCAACCGTATAACCTCTCTATGTGTAGCTATCTACTGTCTCATCTCAATTTGTGTGTCTATATACTGCCTCACATCAATCTATGCGTCTATATACTGTCTCATCTCACTCTGTGTCTACCTCTGTCTCATCTCACTTTGTATGGCTGCCTACGGTTTCACCTCAGTTGGTGTGTCTATATACTGTCTCTACACTTTATTTGTATATGTATACTTTCTCATCCAACTTTGTCTATATCTGTCTCACCTTACTTTGTGAGTCTATATACTGTATCAAATCATTTTGTGAGTGTGCCTACCGTATAACCTCTCTTTTTGTGTCTACCTACTATCTCCTCTCACTTAATGTGTCTATTTACTGTCTCAGATCACTGTGGGTCTTTTTACTGTTTCATCTCATTCTGCCTCTAGCACTGTCTCACCCCACTTTGAGTGCCAACCTAATGTCTCACCCCACTTTGTGTGTCTAACTCATATCTTCCCTCACTTTGTGTGCCCACATATTGCCTCACCTCACTTTATGTGTCTAACTCATGCTTCACCCCACTTTGTGTGCCCACCTAATGTCTCACCCCAGTTTATGTGTCTAACTCATGTCTCACCCCACTTTGTGGTCCCACCTAATGTCTCACCTCACTTTGTGTGCCCACCTTATGTCTCACCCCAGTTTATGTGTCTAACTCATGTCTCACCCCAGTTTGTGTGCCTAACTCATGCTTCACCCCACTTTGTGCGCCCACCTAATGTCTCACCTCACTTTGTGTGCCCACCTAATGTCTCACCCCAGTTTATGTGTCTAACTCATGTCTCACCCCAGTTTGTGGTCCCACCTAATGTCTCACCCCACTTTGTGTGCCCACTTAATGTCTCACCCCACTTTGTGTGCCCACCTAATGTCTCACCCCAGTTTGTGGCCCCACCTAATGTCCCACCCCACTTTGTGTGCCCACCTAATGTGTCACCCCATTTTGTGTGCCCACCTAATGTCTCACCCCACTTTGTGTGCCCACCTAGTGTCTAACCCCACTGTGTGTGTCTAACTCATGTCTCACCCCACTTTGTGTGCCCACCTAATGTCTCACCCCACTTTGTGGGCCCACCTACTGTCTAACCCCACTTTGTGTGCCCACCTAATGTCTCACCCCACTTTGTGGTCCCACTTTATTTCTCACCCCACTTTGTGTACCCACCTAATGTCTCACCCCACTTTGTGGGCCCACCTAGTGTCTAACCCCACTTTGTGTGCCAACCTAATGTCTCACCCCACTGTGTGGTCCCACCTTATGTCTCACCCCACTTTGTGGTCCCACCTAATGTCTCACCCCACTTTGTGGTCCCACTTAATGTCTCACCCCACATTGTGGTCCCACCTAATGTCTCACGCCACTTTGTGGTCCCACCTAATGTCTCACCCCACGTTGTGTGCCCACCTAATGTCTCACCCCACTTTGTGTGCCCACCTAATGTCTCACCCACTTTGTGTGCCCACCTAATGTCTCACGCCACTTTGTGGTCCCACCTAATGTCTCACCTCACTTTGTGTGCCCACCTAATGTCTCACCTCACTTTGTGTGCCCACCTAATGTCTCACCTCACTTTGTGTGCCCACCTAGTGTCTCACCCCACTGTGTGTGCCCACCTAATGTCTCACGCCACTTTGTGGTCCCACCTAATGTCTCACCTCACAATGGACTTTCAGACACGTCATCAAATCGGACAGACTACTCTTTGAACTTCTTGGCCATTTACACCGGAATGTTCACCAACTTTGGGCAGACTCAGGAGAGCGGCAACGAAAACGACTTTGCCCGGCTAGAACTGAGACCCCTGGATATTCCGGCATTGCAACCGGTAGGTGGCTTTATTCACATCTCTCGTCTGTCTATGTCTGCAGTATATAAGTATTCACATCTCTCGTCTGTCTATGTTTGCAGTATACAAGCATTCACTTCTCTCGTATGTCTATGTCTGCAGTATACAAGCATTCACATCTCTCGTCTGTCTATGTCTGCAGTATACAAGCATTCACATCTCTCGTCGGTCTATGTCTGCAGTATATAAGCATTCACTTCTCTCGTCTATCTATGTCTGCAGTATACAAGCATTCACATCTTTCGTCTGTCTATGTCTGCAGTATACAAGCATTCACATCTCTCGTCTGTCTATGTCTGCAGTATACAAGCATTCACTTCTCTCGTCTGTCTTTGTCTGCAGTATGAAGCATTCACATCTCTCGTCTGTCTATGTCTGCAGTATACAAGCATTCACATCTCTCGTCTGTCTATGTCTGCAGTACACAAGCATTCACTTCTCTCGTCTGTCTATGTCTGCAGTATATAAGCATTCACATCTCTCGTCTGTCTATGTCTGCAGTACACAAGCATTCACTTCTCTCGTCTGTCTATGTCTGCAGTATACAAGCATTCACTTCTCTCGTCTGTCTATGTCTGCAGTACACAAGCATTCACTTCTCTCGTCTGTCTATGTCTGCAGTACACAAGCATTCACTTCTCTCGTCTGTCTATGTCTGCAGTACACAAGCATTCACTTCTCTCGTCTGTCTATGTCTGCAGTACACAAGCATTCACCGACACGGCGCAGACAGTCAGTGTTGTCTGTTAGCTCAATGTAAGACATGAGCCATGCCTGCCGTCAGACGCAAATCATTGATTATAGTGTGCTAAGGAAGCATGAGTTTGGTGAGAGTTTGTTTGGGAGTGTGAAGCTAAATCTCAGAGTTCACTTAGACAAAGAAAAAAAGCAGAAGGTGAGAGACTTCACTTGTTGTCTCATGGCGCTCGACATCTGCCTTGTCTACGAGTTGCGTCTGTACCAACGGCCGAAAACCCCAAGCTGCTTACAAGATGGCAACTGGAGGTGTCTGCTGTTTTGATTCTTCCGAGATGAATTGTCAGCGTTTATATCAAGTATAAGAAAGAAACCCCTTCTACCCCTTCAGACGTATTGGGCACATTGTATTATGCAATCGACATCTGGAGGGTGATGTGATCAGAGTTCGAAGATAAAAGTGTCCAGCTCTCTCAGGATCTGAAGCCACCACATTTGGATACGTCAAGCCACTCCATCACGGCAGTTCAGTATACGACAGTTAAATATCAGACATCAGTCATGTGTTCAGTATATGACAGTTAAATATCAGACATCAGTCATGTGTTCAGTATATGACAGTTAAATATCAGACACCAGTCATGTGTTCAGTATATGACAGTTAAATATTAGACATCAGTCATGTGTTCAGTATATGGCAGTTAAATATTAGACATCAGTCATGTGTTCAGTATATGGCAGTTAAATATCAGACATCAGTCATGTGTTCAGTATATGACAGTTAAATATCAGACATCAGTCATGTGTTCAGTATATGACAGTTAAATATTAGACATTAGTCATGTGTTCAGTATATGACAGTTAAATATCAGATATCAGTCATGTGTTCAGTATATGACAGTTCAATATCAGACATCAGTCATGTGTTCAGTATATGACAGTTAAATATCAGACATCAGTCATGTGTTCAGTATATGACAGGTAAATATCAGACATCAGTCATGTGTTCAGTATATGACAGTTAAATATTAGACATCAGTCATGTGTTCAGTATATGACAGTTAAATATTAGACATCAGTCATGTGTTCAGTATATGACAGTTAAATATCAAACATCAGTCATGTGTTCAGTATATGACAGTTAAATATCAGACATCCACCTCCAACACTTCACTGAGGCGATATAGAGATTTGAAAAAGAACAATGTTTGATACATACGTGACAGAGATGTCAATAGCTGTAGAAGTCTGCTGTCAGTCACCTGTGCTGTTGTTATTGTTGCTTTCGCCAACAGTATTACGTGGTGTTTGACGAATGGTCAGTGGGCGGCGTTGTGCGATCGATTTCCCTGAATTTGATCACTGAAGGTCCAGAGCCGTCCATCTACATCAATTACTATAGCCTCACTGACAACCCCAGTTCATACAAGTTTGTACCTTGTTGTTTGAGTGTCTCTCCCTATTATTACATTATAATTCACCGTGATCTAACTTACTTATCAACGTTTTCTGTGTATCGGCTAACAAAATTGGCCATTCTTGCCCCGTGTCTCCTTCTATAAGCTCTTCTGCATGTCATTTATTGTCAATAGTGTCGTATGTCACACAAAGTCAGTAGTGTCGTAGGTCACATAATGTCAGTAGTGTCGTATGTCACATAATGTCAGTAGTTTCGTGTGTCACATAATGTCAGTAGTGTCGTATGTCACACATTGTCAGTAGTGTTGTATGTCACATAATGTCAGTAGTGTTGTATGTCACATAATGTCAGTAGTGTCGTATGTCACATAATGTCGTAGTCACATAGTGTCGTATGTATGTCACATAATGTCAGTAGTGTCGTAATGTCAGTAGTCACATAATGTCAGTAGTCGTATGTCGTCAGTAGTGTCGTGTGGTCATAATGTCAGTAGTGTCGTAGGTCACATACATAACATGTCAGTAGTGTCGTATGTCACATAATGTCAGTAGTGTCGTATGTCACATAATGTCAGTAGTGTCGTAGGTCACATAATGTCAGTAGTGTCGTATGTCACATAATGTCAGTAGTGTCGTAGGTGTCACATAATGTCAGTAGTGTCGTAGGTCACATAATGTCAGTAGTGTCGTATGTCACATAATGTCAGTAGTGTCGTAGGTCACATAATCACATAATGTCAGTAGTGTCGTATGTCACATAATGTCAGTAGTGTCGTATGTCACATAATGTCAGTAGTGTCGTATGTCACATAATGTCAGTAGTGTCGTATGTCACATAATGTCAGTAGTGTCGTATGTCACATAATGTCAGTAGTGTCGTATGTCACTTAATGTTAGTGAAACATCATGTCAGTAGTGTCGAATGTCAGTGTCGTATGTACATGTCAGTAGTGTCGTATGTCACATAATGTCAGTATGTCGTAGTAGTGTCGTATGTCACATAATGTCAGTAGTCGTATGTAATGTCACATAATGTCAGTAGTGTCGTATGTCACATAATGTCAGTAGTGTCGTAGGTCACATAATGTCGTAGTAGTAGTCGTATGTCACACAATGTCAGTGTCATGTCACATAATGTCAGTAGTGTCGTATGTCACATAATGTCAGTAGTGTCGTATGTCACATAATGTCAGTAGTGTCGTGTCGTATGGTCACATAATGTTAGGAAACATCATGTCCGTAGTGTCACACATAATGTTAGTGAAACACATCATGTCAGTAGTGTCGTATGTCACATAATGTCAGTAGTGTCGTAGTGTCGTATGTCACATAATGTTGGTGAAACATCATGTCGGTAGTGTCGTATGTCACATAGTGTCAGTAGTGTCGTATGTCACACAGTGTCAGGAGTGTCGTATGTCACATAATGTTAGTGAAACATCATACCACTAGTGTCGTATGTCACATAAGGTTAGTGAAACATCATGTCAGTAGTGTCGTATGTCACATAATGTTAGTGTCAGTAGGTCATATGTCAGTAGTGTCGTATGTCACATAATGTTCAGTAGTGTCGTATGTCACATAATGTCAGTAGTGTCGTATGTGAAACACATAATGTCAGTAGTGTCGTATGTCACATAATGTCAGTAGTCGTATGTCACATAATGTCAGTAGTGAATAATGTCATCGTATGTCACATAATGTAGTAGTCGTATGTCACATGTCAGTAGTGTCGTATGTCACATAATGTTAGTGAAACATAATGTCAGTAGTGTCATGTCAGTAGTGTCGTATGTCACATAATGTCAGTAGTATGTCACATAATGTCAGTAGTGTCGTATGTCACATAATGTCAGTAGTGTCGTAAACATTAGTGTCACAGTAGTGTCGTAGTGTCATACCATGTCAGTAGTGTCGTATGTCACATAATGTTAGTGAAACATCATGTCAGTAGTGTCGTATGTCACATAATGTTAGTGAAACAGTATTATGTCAGTGTCGTATGTCACACATCATGTGTCGTATGTCCAGTGTCGTATGTCACATCAGTGTTAGTGTCAAACACCATTGTCGTAAGTACCAAATGTCAGTAGTGTCGTATGTCACATAATGTTAGTGAAACATCATGTCAGTAGTGTCGAATGTCACATCATGTTAGTGAAACATCATGTCAGTAGTGTCGTATGTCACATAATGTAAGTGAAACCTCATGTCACTAGTGTCGTATGTCACATAATGTTAGTGAAACACCATGTCAGTAGTGTCGTATGTCACATAATGTTAGTGAAACATCATGTTAGTAGTGTCGTTTGTCACATAATGTAAGTGAAACCTCATGTCAGTAGTGTCGAATGTCACATAATATTAGTGAAACACCATGTCAGTAGTGTCGTATGTCACATAATGTTAGTGAAACATCATGTCACTAAAGTCGAATGTCACATCATGTTAGTGAAACATCATGTCAGTAGTGTCGTTTGTCACATAATGTAAGTGAAACCTCATGTCAGTAGTGTCGTATGTCACATAATGTTAGTGAAACATCATGTCACTAGTGTCGTATGTCACATAATGTTAGTGAAACATCATGTCAGCAGTTTTGTATGTCACATAATGTTAGTGAAACATCATGTCACTAGTGTCGTATGTCACATAATGTTAGTGAAACATCATGTCACTAGTGTCGTATGTCACATAATGTTAGTGAAGCATCATGTCACTAGTGTCGTATGTCACATAATGTTAGTGAAACATCATGTCAGTAGTGTCGTATGTCACATAATGTTAGTGAAACATCGTGTCAGTAGTTTTGTATGTCACATAATGTTAGTGAAACATCAGGTCAGTAGTTTTGTATGTCACAT